ATGTTTCACCTTCAGCAAACGGTTGTTCTTCGCATCTGCTTTTGTTTGTTTCGATTTGTTGCTAAGCGCAAACTATGCTTTATTGTTGTTGTTTTTAAGTTTTGAAACAGTAATTACTTTGCTGGTTAAGGTTTTTTGTGCGCTTTTTATATTTCGCAAGCTAACTGCATAGCACAGCAGAACAGCTGTTGCTCGTCGACAAGGTTGTTGCTACGAAGTGCTCCTTGCGAAATCTAGTAGCTGAGTCATTTCTTAAAGTTAATTATTTAAATGAAGCACCAAAAGCTTCACTGTTTATTGCAGTTACTGTTCGCTCTGGAAATTTCGGTAAATGGAAAGGTGTACTGCGGTTGAAAACGAGGAAGTGAAGAGGTCAGACGAGCTAACTCAACTTTTTGCTTTTCTTTAATCCCGCAGAACCCCTTCAGTGAAACTATCAAATACATATAAGTATATAAATAATATGAATAAATAAAATCGCATATATTTTAAATATATACATTAGTTCCTTGTTCTTCGAACAAATTCTTTCGTTTTGAATTTGCTTGCTCCAAGAGCAAAATATTTTTTAGTCCTACTAAAGTTAAACTTATACCTCGCAAAGACGTAGAATCAAATCGATTTCTTAAGCAAACTTGTGCAGATCACAATGCACCTTGTCGATGCAGGCAGCTAATTAGTTGCCAATAATGTGAGTTCCGTCTTGTGGACCTAACCTAATCGCCGCAAGGAAATTGTCGAAACTTTCTTTCTACTTTCTCAAATTCTGCCTATCAGAAAAATTACCACTGATTATCGTAGAGATATTATTTTCCCCCAAACAAGTTTCAAATTTCTGAACGAAATATAACCAGGTAATATTACTCAGAGTCTCATTGTCATCAAATTTAATTCCATACATATTGCAATGCTAACTGGGTTATATAAGGAGTATATGTGGTTCGATTTCGCAGAAAAACTACTGAGTCGTCTTAAGTACGATATCCTAAGCATGATGCCGTAGAGACCTCTCTACTAATCTACAGAGTTTTGCTATTTTTATTCACTTATTAATGGGCTTAGCCGCAGAGCTAACACATACCAATCTGGTAACTAACTCATTAATCAGTCATTATATAGAGTCGATACCATTTACAGCCCGATGTCATAATTGAGACCAAATTTTCTTGTATTGCTACCGGAACATATCTTGTGGATATGTGGAGGTTAGTTTGATTGATATTTTAAGTATAGCTTTTTGAGCGAGACTTATAACTACATATTAAAAGGTTTGACGATACCCTCTATAGTTTAGTAGCAATTGTAAAAGTTTCGGATGAACGACTTAAAAGCAAATTGCGATATTTTCTGTTCGGCATGAGTACACGCTATACCAGTACTTTTTGTTAGTTAAAGTTGATAAGAGAGCTAAAAAGATCAATTTGCACAAGATTCCAGTCGCCAAGGTCACGAGATTTTAAGCAACACTGGAGTTATTGAACAGATTTTTTATAAGAAAAAATTCAGTTAGTTATTATAACGGGGTTCTTGACGCTTGAGCGTATTGTGTGTATCGACAAAATTATAATTGTTCAATAGAGAGAACACATTTTCGAAGAAATCTTTTACATTTCAAGTTTCGAAGCAAAAATAATGCTTGTAATGCATTGTAGCCCTATATAACTCAACAAAGAAGAAATAATCTTCTGTTGTACATACAAATAAATATATTTATACAAGCATGTACTTATTAGTATGACTATTTTTGAAATACAAACAAACACTCTGCACATTGCTCTGCCATCGAATCGAAGTCGAGCGAGTGCGCGAAGAAAAGCAACGATTCCGGCAAGTGATTCGTGACTTAAGTGTCAATGCAGGGCAAAACAATTAAACAATTGAACGCCAATTGATACGCAGTCATTAATTTAATTAATTGACAATACGACTCGAGCGACAGGCAAGTAGACCACAGCAGACAACGTTCACTTGCAAAGCAATTGTACACATGCATGAGCATACGTATGTGTGTATGAATGTAGGAAATTGTGCGGAGCAGCGGAAGAGTCTTTCTCGCTGCTGGTAAAAGAACAGCAGGACTGTGGGTAGGCGCGGAGGGTTTCAGTCTGTGCGCGTCGCTGCAAGCAGCATAAACTGCAGCAATAACAATGCTGATACAATAGCTACAACAACAACGGCAGCGGCAACAATGGCAACGGCAGTAATAATGACAACTGCAATAAAGACAAGTAATACACGTACAACAATTTATTTAAGTGCACATGCACACAGCAACACATACGCCAGAGCAACGGTCCACGGGCAGTCTGTACGCCGAGTTTGTGGCAATTACAATTTTATGCCCGCAACATGCACACATTTGCAAGCAACAAAGTAATAAAAGTCAACAACAGAAGCAGCAATAAATAAGCAACGCAGCAGCAGCAGCAGCAGCAGCAGCAGCAGCAACAACAACATGAGCCATTGTAGGCAGAAATCAAAAAATATTAAATTAAAAGCGAGACACTGTGTCGCGGTGCAGTGGCAGGGTGGCAAGAAAATTGCTCGATGTGCTGCCCACAAATTGCAATATAATTTGGGTTATGTGCTGCTCGCGCTGCGGCTGCTGGCTGCGGGCAATTGGTGCGCTTTCAGCAAGCCACAGCGGCTGTAGCTACAGCGGGTCGCCACTGGGCATAGTTGGCGGCCCTATTAAGCTGGCGACTGGTGTAATGGAAATGCAGGAAATGAAGTTCAGCGCATAGTGTTGCAAGCAACAACCACACTAGCATACATATGTACATACTTGCAATTATATAAGTATATTGGCAACAGCGTTTCATGTCAGCTGACATTGTGGATTTTTGGTTTGGACAGTGCCTTATTTTGATTGCAACAATTGACGTAGCCTAACTTGGAAAAGTGCATTGTTAAGATGAGATAACGGTTGTTGGTGCATATTTATTACATTAGCGAAGCCTAAAAACACTCTGAAACCCTCAGCAATTACCAATCTCATGTTACATCTGAAAAAGAACCGATAATATTTCATTGTTTTAGAACATTTATTTCCCCTTTAGACCTACAAAGCTACAAGACTAGCTCTACCAACACATAAAATTTTCCAAAGGTTTTAAAGTGAGGTATGTATTAACTTTGCCACCGTCTCTTCTGCAGTTGTTGCTAATCAAAAAGCAAAATGATTCGCCCAACAAATGCTTGATTGCTGAAAGCAATTTCATACATATAGCTCATCATACTGAGGCCGAGACCCACGCTAGGCACCAGGCCAGCAACAGCAGCGTCAACGCCAACAGCGGCCAATGCTGCGGCCACTGTCATCATCATATCTCCGGCAAGGCAAAGAGTGTTTGCCTGTTGCTGCTGTGCGCTGTTGAATTTTTTATGATGGTCATAAAAAATATAAAGAATGGTGTTGCGCCCGCAATGCGAACAACGTTAAGAGAACAGCCTCCACTGCAGCGCCAACACGTTGCAGCAGCTAGTAAAAGGCAAAGCGGGCAAATAATAAACAACACGATGTGCACTGCCGAGCATAAATTAAGGCTTAAGCAATTAAATGCAATTCAATTGATTATTGCTGGCGTTGTTGGGGCAAAAAGACAACTTTATGGCAGCAACAGCAGAGCAAACTTTGACAGCACTCACTACGAGAAGATACAAAAAAGAAAAGAACAACACAAAAACAAGCATGAAGAAAGCATTTGGCACAATAAAGCGCTCGCAAGCAAGTAGCAATAAGCCGGAGTTTTTTGTAGCTGTTGGAAAAATACAATTATAGCAACAAAATCTCAACAACCAAAGTGAAAATGCAGCTATTTACTCATAAGAGTACAGTGTTGTATAGACACACGCATAAGAAAAGTTGTTTATAGTGGAGAAATTTAGAACACCAAGCACCGCATAATCAGCAGTGAGGTACAAGACCAACACAGGCTCATGTATGTAAGTATGTATGTATGTATGTGAGTATGAGTAAGTGAGCTGACCTACCCGCCAGTTAATTTAAGAGATCACGTCCGCCTTCGATTAATAAATATTATAGTTCTGCGGTCAGCTCAGCACTGTTTGTTGAAAAGGAGTTCCAAGAAAGGAGCATTATCAGGATAAATGCAACAAATAGCTGCTTGTGTATTTTGTATGATGCCGTGTGTTTTTAAGAGAATAATAATATATCAAGATATGGAGAATTAAAAAAAATAGCGATCAAATAGTAAAATACAGCGTGCACCAAAAATTCTTTTATATGGTACCGGAAGGGTAGTGACGAAAGGTTTAAGATTTGCACTATCAGCTGACATACATATGCTACAACGGTTCAACTGAATTCAAAACCTACGTAAGTTGAAGAAACAACTTCAAACAAGAAAACACGTCAACTTCGGTTGCACCGAAGCTATAATACCTTTCACAGATACAAAGGTTCCTTACAATAACTTGATTCCGATCTAATTTCGTGAATATACCTCATCAAATAAAAGAGTTTTCCATATAAGCACTTGATTCCGATTGTTCAGTTCAGCTATCTGCTATAGTGGTCCGATATCGGCCGTTTCGATAAATGAGTAGCATCTTAGTGAGGTAAGGACAGGTACAAAATTTCAGATCGATAGCTTAAAAACTGCGGGACTAGTTCGCGTATATACAGACGGACGGAGGGACGGACAAACAAACGGACATGGCTAAATCAACTCAGCTCATCATGCTGATTATTTATGTATAAAACTTAATATACCCTGTTCAGGGTATAAAGACTAGATGCCGAGAATGCAGCGAACCTCTGCTTGTAAATGCCCTAAATACTGTGTACTTGCTGTCTTAGCTGGACACAGAACAATCTTAAGGTAGTAGTGGTTTAGAAAAATATACCTTTTTTTTGAAAGTACTATATATTAAAAATGCACTGCATAAATTTTATAACGAAAGCCGCACGGTAGCTGCAAACGGCAAGACCTGTTTCTTCCTATACATTTATTTTGAAAAAGTGACTAACAGTGAGGCCTATGAAGAAGTTGATGGTTTATTATACGTTTAATATAGGGGTACACGATTCGTATGTAGTATGATTTATCTATAATAATAATATTATTATATGACACATATTTAATTTGTTGTTGAAACTTAGAACGCGTTTTTCTCGAAACAACGTTCTTACGGTCTACCCGGATGAAACAAAATTTTTGATCCAACTGAGCTGAAATTTGAATATGTTATTGTACTCATCAATGGCTCTCGCAAGAACTAGTATCTCTGTTTTTTATCGCGAACTTTCCATTTTATAGCCGAATTTCGACTTTAAAAAATTTCACTCTTTTTTTCAAAATCAACCATTTGTTTTATTTGTCAACAAAATTGTTTAATCCAACCAGAATGACAAGCTCACAGAATAATAATCCTTTTGATTTTTCTACTGCAGATGTACTCAAGCGACCAAATCACTGGCGGCAGCCACCACCTTTTCTGTTTTGGGATGCTCACTTCAGTGCTACGAAACAACAAATTTCAAAAATAAAAGACAAAAATAGTTTTTTGTACACTTTAGGATATTACAATATTAATAATATATTACAAAATGAAACTGATGGAAATTTTTTTTTCCAAATAAAATATTCTCCAAAAAGCATTAAAAAAATACAAGCTACCAGACTACTACCTTAAAGCACATTCTTCACAATGACTTATATGTATATAAGGGGAAAAAAACTTCCAGTTCAAGCCTACAGAACATAGCTTGCAGAAGGAATGCGATAATGTGATAAAGATATCATACTTACCGACATATACAGAGTGTATAGAACATACCGAACACGCATTTCGCAATGGCCTCTTAAGGGAAATTATAACTCTTGGATGAAGTTTGGCGTTGTAAAATGTAATATTGATGTAATATTAATGCAATATTGGCAGCGAGATGTCAGCTACAATTATGAAAAACTGTGAAATTTTCAGTAGATTAGCTGTCAGTCAGTTCGTAGTAAAGTGAAGTTTTTAAATGAAGTAATCTTTAAAGAGGTGGTTCTGTGGACGAAACTAAGTAAGGTATAGCAAATTAAAGTTTCATATTTAGGTTTCCAAAATCTATGCTACTATAAAAAAGAGGTTTGGTAGCTTTACCAATTTTTTTTTTTTTTTTTGAACTACAGACAGCGTCAAATCTAAATGAAAATAAAAGCAGGCCAAGTCGTCGGCTTGGTCAGTCCAGTACATTAGTACAAAACTTATCAAACCTAAAAAAAATTTCAAAGGTTTAAGCGCCACATGCTTACCTGTTTACTGTAAGCGCATATTTGTCAATAAGTAGAGTTATAAGCACATCAAGAGTATTTGTTTCGACAGTGAGTGGCATGTTGCCATACTTCTTAACGTTTTTGCGCCAGAGTTGTAGGATTTCGGTGACTTTCAGTAACTTTAATAAATTTGGGGGTGATAGCAAATATATGCCATACTTTTGTCGAACTATGAATTTAGTGTCTGAAAATAGAAAATTTAATAAAGTATACTGGTTCTAGTTATTACTACATAACTTACAAAAACAATTAGTTATTTATGTCGATAGATATTCCTACATGTGCCTCAAACTACGCTGAAAGACCAACACAGGTCAATAGCTGGTACTAATAATAGTTCGACTAAATTTACATTACCATGAAGCGGCGCAGAAAGTCGCAGAGCAACGCTTTGACATGCACATATCCGGTGAAAAATGTTTACCAGCGAAATTAGCTCTTTTCTTATAAACCTATGGTAATTTTATACAGCTGAAATGTAAATGGCACATGTACATAATAAACACATACAGACACATAAAAAAAACGTTACACAAGTTTACAAGCAAACATTAATGTGAATTATACACAACACGCTGAAAGTCGAGAGAAACAGAACAGAAAAACAACTCGGCCAAAAGACTTTCCTGCAATGAACACACATACATATGATTATGCCGTGTATTTACGTATGGGTGTCACATGTTGTTTTTTCCAACATTTCAATAACACTAAAAGCAAACATGCGAGATAACAAATACAATAAAAGCCTAACAAAAACAAAAGCAAAACTTGCTGATGGGTGTGTGTTTGCTATCAATTAAATTCACGTTAAAGCCCGAAATGTTACAGCAGTAGCAACAGTGAGTGCAACAACAACAGCAAAAACAATGGCGACAATGATTCTTGGTAAAAGCATTGGTAACTGAACGCCCAAATGCCACAGACCGCAAGCGGCTAGGCCGAGCAGAAGAGGTCGACATGTAGAAGAAGCAGCGGAAAAAAAAGAATTCTACCCAACAACAACAAAATACATTGTAGTAACGAAAAATGAAACGAGCACCAGTGTGTTGCAGTTGTGGCAAGACACTAGCAGCAACAACAACAACAACAACAACAAAACAGCTGAGCGAGCAAACAAATGCAACGGTGCCGGTGATACATAGCACATAAGATGAAAGCCGAAAGAAAAAACGAAGAAAACAAAGAAATTAAGGTGAAAGATACACGTTGAAAAGCACAGATACTCGCTAACTAAACAGATACAACAGCACAATGCCTAAATAGCGGTTGCCATGGCGCTGCAGTCAGCTACACACTGACAGCGCTGAAAAACGAAACAACAAAAAAGCAAAAACAATACACGCCATGAGCCTAAAAAGCGGACAATGGCGCAAATGACACTTTGGATAGGAGGCTGTCAGGTCGGGACGCCCGATAGCTGTATCTACCGATATATATATGTGTGTGTGTGTGTATGCATATGTAGTTGAGATATGGCAGCGAGTTAAATCCAAGCAGCGTTACTGCGCTTAACGTTTGTACGCTGTACAGTGAACCTGAAGTAGAGAAAAGCTTCGTACAATTTTATTTGTTTATGAAACCGGGATACAAATAGTTTAAAGCGAAGACAAGGGATCTTGATCTTATCACAACCTGAACACAGTTGAAGCGCTAATAATCGCTTTAAGGAGCAAACCTTCTATTTAGGAGATCAGGTAATGAGAGGGGTGCTTATTAAATTAATTAAATTATTAATTATTTAAATAATTTCATGAAGAGGATAATAAGCTGTAGAGTCTTCCATGTGTTTCAGTCAAAGTTAAAGCAAACACACACACTCTATCTCTCTCTCTCTCTCTCCCTATGAGAAAAATCGTTTGGCTGCATGGCGTATGCCTTTCTTACAGAATTTTGGAAAAGTAATAAACTCGGTCTACGCAAACTGTTGTGATAGTTCAATATCGATGGGGGAGAGGACTTCAAGCCTCAAAAAAGGCAATTTCAACTTTTACACACAAGTTTTTTAGAACAAACTGTAACTCCCGCGAACAATTATTTCTAACGCAGAACCCACCGTAGAAATGCCCCTGTTCACGTGCTGCCAACCAACCCGCGCCTCGCTTGCGACCCATTCAGTTATCCAGCGAACGCGTTAGCTGATGGTGTCATTGTTGATTTTGCCATTGCTGTTGCTCGCCATTGTTCCAGCGCCCTCATTGTTATTTGCCAGACGCATTACCAGAAACAACAGCACAAAAACAAAAGCAACAGCAACACTCAAAAACCAAAAAAAAAAAAAACACATAACTATTCAACGCACCGGTTAACTCACCTTCCACCTTCCGATTTTTTCTTTACGTGTACAGCGCTGGCTTGAGCGCAGACGAAGGCTGTGGAGCTGGTACGCTGGCTGGATGGCTGGCTTTATCTCTGTTAGGCTTTCATGCCACAAAAAATAATGAAACTCGAAAAACACACTGCTTGTATTGTGAGCAACGTATCACTGCAGTTCGTGTGATGTATGTGTGCGCTTGCCATGGTCGATGGTACATGGTATGGCATAGCATGGCATGACATGACAACGTAAAATCTGATTTTTTGGGCTGCTACAAAAATTTCGCGCGCCAACAAGCAAAAACAATAAAGGCAATAGAGTCTCTTAGTAATCTACAGCAGTAAATGTTGTATTGTAAATGCAGCAACAACAAAAATAAAACAATAAAATTAAGCTTTTCATTTGGCCACAACACTAACCTTTGCACCTTTGCTTTTAGCTGGCGCCTAAACGCATAACGCAACGCGTTGCTAAGCCGCCGAGCAGCGCGCCCGACTGCATATCTATATACACGTTTGAAATGAATTTAGTGAGTCAGCCTAGCAACTGGTGGTGCGGCTACGCCGAGCGCTGCGTCCACCTACAAAACATTGCGTGCCCGCCCTGCTATTAACTGGCCATTCATTGCCTGCCGCTGTCGGATGAGTAAAGAGTGGCAGAATGCTAAGAGCGCAAAAAAGGGGGCTGTCACAGTCACGCCCACTTCGTATTGTGTCTCTGTATGCGTTTGTAGCAAAACTCAAAAACCTACTTGATCGGCGTTACGCCCTCTTAACAGCGCCCACTTGTAGCGATCAGTCAAGAGTCAATGAGCGCTATGTTGGTGGACTGTCAGCAGTCAGCAGTCATCAAGCACTATGCGCATAAGTCTGTCAATTCGTCAAATTCGAAATGTCTACTAATTTTTGTTGTTGTTTGCGTATTTAAAAACACTTGTGGATCTTAGCAGGCTTGTTGCCGCTTGTTATTGTTGTATTGTTTTTGTATTACTGATTGGCAGTTCAACGTTGCTCTTTCATTTAGAGCGTCTAATTGTAGAGATCTAGCAAATGACTAACATCAATCCAACTTCAACTTTTGACTGCCACTCGTTCATGCTTCCTCTGTATCCACCTCACCGCTGTTGCTTTCAAGTGTTGCGGAGCGTTTTGATAGCCGCGATTTATTTGTGTATTTGCATCGCACTAGCTATCTAGTTGAGTGAAGTTTTAATTTAGCGCTTGACTAAGCAGCACACACACACACACACACACACTTATGTATCTGACGTTTTTATCTGTGTGCGTGTGCATATGAAACTACTGACCTGAAATGAATTATCGTATAGAAAGATTTGTTAAATCGATGAAAGCTTGTAAACTGGATTTTCGTTTAAAAACCGTGCGTTGAAAATCGTTAATGACCTCGATATGTGTGCGATAGTCTTAAGTGTAATATACTAGATACTAGATATGTATGCCACTATAAACTAGTTATAAGTGAACATAATATTCATGAGTTTATTGTTAAGCATAAAATATGTTTGCGCGCGAATTTATACGGCAAATATACTAATTTTTAAGTGAAACTTTATAACTGCATCTACTATTTATATTTCTCGAAGAACGCCGGATGCGCGACCTTTTCTGTTTACCTATGCAATTAGTTGTCAACTCTACAAGTCGCAAGTCTGTTATAGTATACTACAGTTGACAGTTCAGCGCTTCTTATACTGGATACATGACATATCTGATCTAACTGTTAAGCACTTATTATGATCTAAGAAGTACATATAATAGTGGATAGCATGTAGTAGGTGTAACAGTCGTTTGGTAGCCAAAAACAAACCTAGTAAAACATGGCATCGAGTAGATTTGAAATATGCTTAAAGTTTGGCGTCAAATTTTTCGTAATGTCAGACATACATCGCTACATATACCGAGTATGATTAGTGCTGAAGCCGCAGCAGAAGATGTTTCGTTAGCTTTATGCTTTTAGTAATACCTATAATATGCTATTTTTACAGTTTGAAGCCCAGAGACAATAGGTAACGTGCGAAGATCAAACAATCGACTTTTTAAATATTATTCATTAATATCTCTTAATTCAATCGAGCTTTTGTCAACATTTTATTATGTGGTGTTCGGCAGCAAACTTTCGCAGAGTTTAGATATATTAATGAATTATATTTTATAAGGCGATTGTTTGAAATTTGGTTATTAAATATTAGCTGATGGCATTCGCTATAAAATACTAACAACGGCAAATTTATTGTTAAATTTATATATGTTAAATTTCTATAGTTTAGTCATACCGTAAGGCTAAATAAGTATTAAAAATGCGATCAGCTGACGATAGCGGACTATTATTTTACAGTAGAGCCGGTCGATACTTAAAATATTATATGCTTTAATATTTTAGCCGTCACTGGCCAGTTTTTATGAGTAATTTTTTAAAATATAATTATGAAAAATATAGTGGTGTGGTTCTTCACTTTTAACAATTTGTACAACATTTACTTAGATTTATGAACTGCTTCTATCAGAATTCCACTTTTATCTAATGTCTATACAACTCTATGCATGGACATATGCACATATGTACTTATATACAAAGTACAATGACTAGCGCTGAATCTCCTTATCACTAAAAGTCGCTCAGGACCACCCCACCGCACCAATTTGACCTTATTTGCTAGTCGCAGGAAAAGTGTCGACCGTTGGTAAGCTCACAATTGCCAGATATGACTAATTTAAAGTTCTTTATTTTTGTTAATTTCTAGACTAGCTAGCTACTAGTCGCCTGATTGGCTACACGCGCTGGCCGCTTATCTGACATATGCATATATATACAAACAAAAAGGCCGTGCAAAGAGGCCTTGAGAAATATTTTTCGCAGTAAGTCATAGCCAACGCAGCAAGCGTGTGCTAAATGTGTAGGTGAGTCAATAACTAACTATTTAGAAAATATTTAAATAATAAAATAATAAATTATCGGCTCATATGAAAGGCATGCAATTTCACCGGTTTTCATTTTGCTGTCTGACAACTCACGATTTCCATGTTAAATAAATAAGTCGTACATTGTATGCGCTTAAGCTCGTAATATTCTAATTAGAGTCTACTGTGAATATTCTCACACTTATCAAACGACAATGGTTAACGCGACGCGTGAAACGTGCGGCATTGCGAATTGCATTACAACCACCAATTTTCATTGCATAAATTATAAATGAGCATATGAGCTGTAATTGATATGTACTCGTAAAGCTAAGATATTGGGTTAGGTTCGCTCAGCTAAGGCTAATCATAAAACTGTCAACATTGCATGCGGTTGAGTGCAACTGAACGCCATTAACTCCAAGACTGCGCTGGCCGAGTCGTTTGGCTGTCGCTGGACACCGGCAAGGATGTTGCAGAGAAAAATGTTAGTTGGTTGCATGGCGCAGTAAGTACTCGTAGTTTGCAACAATTACATATTATTGGCAATTTCATGACAGCAACTCAAACGTGTAATTTTTCTACGCTTTGGCTGTTGCCGTGTAATAAAAGTTTAAT